TGCTGAACCTTTCTGTTCCACTTAAAAGTGATGGACAAATTGGAAAAACTGAGAATAATATAATTCTGAGGCTCTGCTTAATATTTTGATTTCTATAAAGAAGGGCATTTAATTTAGCCTCCAGAGTGTATCTGTTAACCACATACGGTTTACAGCGATGTTAAGGGCACAGGGGAGCGTTCCAGCCGCTCAGGATGAGCCGTCCCGGACCTCGGCCGGGGGACACAGCACAAGGGGGAGTTAACGACAGTGCGCGCTGTACACGCAGAAACTTTCTGAAAGGGTCAGCCTCATGTTAAGTGCCCTAACCACAATAAAATAAAAAGCAAAGTAGAGAGAACACTAGGAAGATGTTACTAATTTGGGGCAAACTCCCTAGCGTGTTTCTGTATTTCCGTAGGATGGATGTGGCGGACGCTCTCCGGCCTCTTCTCAGGAGTGAAGGCCCTGCCCCTGACTAGTGCTTTCTGGGATTAGGGAGTAACAGGCAGTTTGGTGTGAGGTAAAGAGCGCTCCTGCCTAGTAGGCGGCTACAGACTTGCTCTCAGGGATGCTTGACACGGGCCCTGCAGTTTCTGCTGCAAAGCCTTCCTGGTTTGCTGTGGCTGAGTCCTCAGCCACGTGCCAGAGGTAAACCTGGAACTGGATGTGCCGTCCGTGTGAGAGGTTTGAGAGCTCTCCCACCAGTGGCAAATGTGGAGTCTTTTCCAGAAGACTGGAGCCCGGAACGGGGCCTGTAGGTGGTTTGGGAAATGTCTGCGTTTTTGGCGTGTTCCACAATAGTTCAAATGTTAAAAGTAATTTGTAACCCCGTCTGTACCCTCGTGGAGACCTCGCAAGCTGAGAACTCATGTCACTTTTCCTTTTAGACACAGTCAAACCACAGGTTATGCTAAAAAAATGGGGACAGAAGTCCAGCAGAGCAGTGATTTCTCCTCAGCTAAAACACAGGCTACATTAAAACCACATGTTGCTGAGTGCTGGCAAAAATGCAAATTAAGACGTGAGGCCTGAGCCTGCCTGGACGTGTTCCGCCTGATGCGCAGGCCCATCTTGCTAGAGGCGGCTGCCACGGGGCTTCCACAGAGTCCAAGATAAGGGTTTCCGGCAGCAGAGTCAGTATTCAGACATGGACACTGCAGGACAGGCAGCCCCGAGCCCTGGAGCTCGTGCCCAAATGGCATTTCGTTGTAGCCAAGAGATTTTACTACCAAGCAATCAGAAAGTCACCAGCTAAAAATGCTGGGCAGTGGACACGTTTGAAGCCATTATCTCAGTGTCCAGAGGGCCTTCCAGATCTAGACAACTTGTAATTTAAATCTGGAAACACTTAAGAGAAATGGGGAAAGCCATTCTTTTCAGCTTCTAAAATTCAAATGAGCTACATTAGATGAGGTCTGAAGACGTGTGCCTGGGGTGCTGCCTGAGGGCGTGAGGCTAGTGGTGGCAGCCCTGGGGACGTGCTTCCCCACGGTGGTCGCAGATTCTGCACAGCATATTTTATTGGCCTGTGGTCGTGAGAAGAGGGGCCCCTATCGGGGGGTGGCCCACCTGTGTAACTCCTCCTGGGTCCTGAGACAAGCAGCAGGAGTGAACAGGCTCTGGTACCGCTCCAGATGGAGCAGGCTGGCAGCTCCCAGGCCCTGCCTTCCTGCCACCGCAGGTCTCCACGTGGGTCTTGGTGTCCGTTCCCTCATTCCTGCCTTCCAGAGCTGGGTTAGATGGGCTTTTGACTGCTTCAGCCTTTCCCTTTTCTACTAGTTTACGGCGTCCCAGGGGATATCTTCCTAAGGAACAGTAGGAACATCGTGCTTTGTATCAAATCATCATGTTGTAGTATTTTCAAGTGAATATGTGGAAATTTGTGCTCAGTGCGAGGACTGACAAAGATATTTGACCCTTTGATCTGATTTACTGTTGGACTTTCCACTTGAGGTGAGAAGCGCAGGAGCCTGATCACTCTCACATCCTGAGAAACTCAGATGCAGAGCAAAAGAGGCTGCCGGGTGGACGAGGGTGGACCACAGATGGGACGGGTGCCCTGGGCCGCAGCCGAGGGCAGGAAGGCACGTGCCCCCAGGGCGCCCGCCTGCCCCCCTCCCTCCAGGGCAGTGCCTCTGGACCGAGTTTCACCGTGGCTCCTAGACCCGGTCCCCACTTGGCGCGTGGCCTGGCCCCTGTGCTCCGACGGACCTCCTAGGATCCGAGAGTCTGTTGTGACCGGCGGGGCTACTGCCCGTCTCGCATTGTCTGGGAAGCAGAGTCCACATTTCGCCACGGCCAAGCCGAGTGGCCTTCCAGAGCCGCGGCTTCCCTTCCCGCCGAGCCCCGGCCTCCCCTCGGGGATCCTGCTTGCTGGCCGTGCGCCCGCCGGGCAGCCAGCCTCCGCGCCGGGCCCCTCTGGCCCCGGCCGCTCGCGCGGGCGGCGCCTCCGCCGTGCATCCCGCGGCCTGACCGCCGCCTCGCCCTGTGCCTCCCCGCAGACGTGTCCAGGTGCGTGGCCGAGAGGAAGTACACCCAGGAACAAGCCCGGAAGGAGCTGCAGCAGGTGTTCGTCCCCGAGTGCAGCGACGACGGCACCTACAGCCAGGTGTGCAGCCCGGGGCGGGCGGCGGGCCTCTCACGGGGCGGGGGTCTTGCTTCCTATCTCAGAGTGGCTCCTCCCGAGGGGGTCGCTGTCGCAAGCAGGGCGAGCCCTTCCCCGGCGCAGGTGCTCCTGTCACGGCCGTGCCGTCCCCGCTCACTGCTGGGAGACGGACCGCACGGCGTCCTCCAGGCCGGCTCACGGCTGAGCCTCCAACTCCGGTTCGCTGTTAGTCGCGGAGAACACGCCAAGGTCACATCCGGTTTCTGGGGTCACCTCGTTAGTCAGTGGCGGCGTCTAATCACCCAGTGCTCTATCTGGAGCGTGTCAATATTGTTATTGCCAATACTATGATTTCTTATTAAGGGAAACAGATTCCTGAAATACTACGCTAACTGACGTAGCTTTGGGTAGGAAAAGAAAAAACCATACACAAGACAGGATCTGCTGTGAGCCATCCAATGATGACATGAGCTCTGTGTATTTTTACAGCAATCATTTGACCTTTGAAAGACTCAGGAAGGAGAGAGAGAGACAGAGGGAAGCTGGAGCCATGGGTGGTGTCCACGCCGGCTGGCTGGTGGTGGTGGGGAGCTGGGGCAGTGAAGGGACATCCCGCCGGCAGCCGGACCGCAGTCTCCTGCCTGTCCTGACTCCTTGGTGCCTGGGTTTCCCTCTTGTTAAGATGTGGGCTCGGGTTCCATCGCAAAGATGAAGGATTAGATACTGAACAGTTGCGGGCTGGCGCCCACCAGCGTTCACTATATAACACCTCTGGTCCCTTTCGTCCCTAAGATCCCAGGTTCCAGAGCATCACAGGTTGTTTGCCGGGTGTTCAAACGCAGGGACTCAAGGAAGCACCAGGCCTCCTGGACCTGCATTGGAATTGAGGCTGGGCTGCAGGTGGTGGAGGGGGCCTCGCGGAGGGCGGGCGCCACTCACACTGACTGCCCCGTCCCATGCCGTCCCTCCTGCAGGTCCAATGCCACAGCTACACGGGGTACTGCTGGTGCGTCACACCCAACGGGAGACCCATCAGCGGCACTGCCGTGGCCCACAAGACGCCCAGGTGTCCCGGTAGGTCCAACTGAATTTATGAGGTGAAACTGCTACTGACATTATTGGCTGCTTTCTGATCATCTTACAAATGTTTGCTCATAACTGAAAAGAAATTCAGTTTAGGTGGAATTATGAGGAATGTTGGGAATGGATTTGAGTCACTGGACAAAGCCCTAAGTATTATGAAAACCTTTTTTTTTTTTGGTGGTACGTGGGCCTCTCACTGCTGTGGCCTCTCCCGTTGGGCGGCACAGGCTCCGGACACGCAGGCTCAGCGGCCATGGCTCACGGGTCCAGCCGCTCCGCGGCATGTGGGATCCTCCCAGACCAGGGCACGAACCCGTGTCCCCTGCATCGACAGGCGGACTCCCAGCCACTGTGCCACCAGGGAAGCCCGAAAACTTTGTTTTTAAGAGAGCTTAGGAATGGAGGCTCTGGGTCTGAACCACAGTAGCTTGTGGCAATTCGGGGCTCTTAATGTTTAGCAATAACCACAGGGACCGTGGTCATCAGCGGAAATGACCAAGTGCTTTCATTGGCCGAGAAAAGCAAACATTTCTGCGTTTGTATGTATATATTTGCAAAGAAAAAGTGGCTCATTCGTCACAGATCCCTTTCCAGATGATTTATTTGTGTTATTTTATTACTCATGAGAGGGCCTCATGTACTGAAGGTAATAATATTGGCAGGAGAGGAATCTATAAAATGGTCTGTTTTCCATTAATATTTTACCAAAAATGTTATAAAAGATTCAGATCATTTGAAAATGGTCTGCAGCTTGAGTTTTGATTAATTGTTGAGGGAGACCCATCAGACCATTTATGGAGACGTTTCATGATCTTTGTGTCACAATCACTAGATGAAGCTTTACTCAGGACAAACATACTGTTACGCGACAATACAAAACATCTTCCTGAATTTTCATGCAAAATATTGAAACGTGTATTGACAGTTTACTTTTAGACCCCTTTTCTGTTTCAAGAACAGGCATCTTATAATTAGAAATTCTGTTCATGATTCAGACATTTATACCAGGAGCCAAGGCACAGGTCAGACCTCATAACTGCTTCAGAATGGTGACGTACATCCGTAATTAGCAGCAACACCAAACCTAATTTTAAGTGACTGGTCATCACTTAAAAGCCAGGGGGTGTGCATAATGTGGAATTAAAATATACTTATTTTTAAAACTGTTTTGTCATCCAAGATCTAAAAATTGCTGTAAATATATTTTTAGTGAGCTTACATTTGCACCTAATAATTCTTTTACAAACTCATGCAGTAAATGAAAGAGAAAAAAATTAGCATAATGAGTTGGCCTCTGTGTGTGTCCCTCACTCTGAAAGTTACTTGCAAATGCTTATTTCATTTCAACCAAGTAACAGCATTTTGAGTCAAGCTGAGCCTTATTTTACGAAGGAGACAGCAGAGGAGATACCTATTTCCGTGATTTTAGTGACACCTTTTGAGAAATTAAGTAGTGTCTGAAAGAACTTTCTTAGAAAACCATGAGCAAAGTTGGCTGGATTTCTTATAACTTCCCTGTAACACTTCGTTTCTAGAATCAAACCACTGTACTGTTCAGTCACATTTTTTCCAACCAGGTAGCAGCAATATTTTGCTGTATGGAAATGCTCCATTTTTTTCACTGCCCATGTGGATTTGTTTGTTTCAAGTGATGGGTTATGGAAGAAAGAGTATTCTTCCCTTTTGCTTAGAATCTGGTGTTTATTGCATGGAAAACGCCAGCGGGGGCGGGGAGGGCGTGTCTCTGAGGACACTTGTGGTGTGGGCAGGGCAGGCTCCCTCCCAGACCGAGACCGGGCTCCCTGTAGGAGTGCCTCCCTTTTCACCCCTGTGGCTTGGTTTTGCAGCTTGGCCAGAGTTATGGGAAAATTCTGTGAATTCCCAGCTGTATTCATGCTTTTATTCTGCAGAGATATGGGGTCGGGGAGAGCAGGTGCCTGTGCTCGGAACACGTGTGGAAACTGTGGCTTGCAGGGGGTTGTTGAGAGAATCTTGGTATTTAAAGGGAGAGTGTTGGGAGGACTGAGTGCAGGGCACACACAGTGTTTATGATAGACTTTTACAACACAGTGTAACATAACCTCTTCCCAGATATTGACACACCCTCACCAATCTCGTGCAAGAGTGTGGCAATGAGCATCACCTTGGAGAGATTGTGGTTAATAACGTGCTTGTCAGCTGGTCAGTTTCCATCTGCAAACCCCCCAGGGGCGTCCTCCTCCCTTCCCTGGGACCCTGGCTGACACCTGCTGGGGCTGATACCTTTGTCTACTCTCTGTAGAGCGTGGGAGTTATTTCCATGTAGTTTATTACCACTGGGTAAACATCAGCTGTCAACAGTGGTCTTTGGCCCTGGAGTTCGCACGGAGCTGACCATACAAGCACATTCTATAGAAATTTGAAAATCAGAAAAAGATATTAAAGCTTAGCAATAAACAATACCAGTCACTTAGAATGCATGTGTGTGTTTATTATGAACTGGTGCAGACACACGTTGCAACAGCCCCTGGGGAGCGCGGGGGCCGTCCACTCACAGCTGATTTCAGTGGAACAGAGGGGGCCCCAGCATCCACATCCCCCCCACCCACTCCTCCCAGAAAGACCTTCAAAGGGAAGGATTCTTTTATTTCACAGTCACGTGTTTTTAAGCCATTAATGCAAAGCACCAAATTCCTGTGGATCAGTAAGAAGAATGGGATAATGAGGCCACATCTAGCAGAAAAAGACAAAAGTCTTGAACAGGCAGCATTTTATAAGTGAGGAAATCCTAGGGACCAGGGCACACAGGAAAAGGCGCTTGTGCTCATCGGTAGTCGGGAAATGCAAAGCAGCCTCCCAGGGAGACTCCCTGATACCCAGGGGAGGGGCAGCAGTGGTGAACCCCGGGGGGCCCCCGACGTGCCATCCGCTTGCCCCTGCAGACGGGCCCGCTTTGGAGCGGGAGGCGTGTGAGAGAGTGTGCGTGGCATGCTGGTGGTGATGACCAGATCCTGGAAGCCAACGAGCGTCCACTGGTGTCTGAGGGAGAGATCACGTGCTTGCCTGGCCCATGGGTAGGACAGGAGCGGCGAGAACACAGAGGAGCTGCTGCAGCGAAACGCGGCTCCAGCGAGTGTGTCTGCGTGAGGGGGCCGGAGCCCGGAACACCGCAGCCCATTTACAATTCAAAAACCAGACAAAACTCAGCTTCAGTGGTCAGACTCTCAGGACAGCGGTGAGGTGTGGAAGGGGGCAAACTTTGTGATGGGAGAGAGGGCTGGGCCTGGAGGCTCCTCCCCCTGCTGGGACACTGTTTCCCTGGACCTAGGGTGATAAGTCACTGGGCTGTGCGTTTGTGTTGATGCACGTCATGTGTGAGTGTGATGTTTCACAGATTCAGAACGTTAAAGATGCAAAAGCCCGTGGAAGGGGGCTGTCGTGTGTCAGCGTCACGCCCCCGAGGTAGAACTGGGCTTACCTTCTATTTACAGGTGAGAGCCTGACCCGAGGCCCCTGTGCATGTAAGTGATGGGGCTGGGATTTAAATCTATGCTTTTGTCTCCATTGCCCACATTTTCTGCCAGATACCATAATGTGACTTCATGGGCCTTGAATTCCTTATTTATAAGAAATAATGAGTTGGAATATGTGTAACTCCCAGCTCTGAGCTCCATGACCACGGGGCCATGTTGTCCAGGCCCCAGCGAGGTGCCTGGAGGACAAGGAGCGCCACTCCCCACCCTCTGTGGTGACTCCTCGGTGACCCTGGAGCCCACCACCTGCTTTACTCAGCTTCCACCAGGTCAGCGCACTTCCTGGACCACTTGCTCGGGGGCTGACAGGTAATCGCACAGATTTTCACAACGAGGGGAGGACCTGCCTTGTCTGTCCTTCCGGCCACGGACTCGGACTCGTGACTCTCAGTGGAGCTCAAGCCTTAGCGGGCGGGGAGCTTCGGGGCAGAAATCGGCCCCTTTGGCCCCTGCTTCCTGGAGACGGGATCATTCCCACGCGGTGAGGACCCTGCGAACGGGATCAAAGCCGCCCCTTTAGTGAGCGGCCAGGCGCGGGCCCGTGACGCTCGTCCTCGTGGCTGCTTCACATTCCCTCCCTAGAAACACACCCGTCGTTTCTCGTTAACGACCATCTCCACCAGCAGCGCTTACCGAACCTTCGCCAGGCCGGGCGCCCACAGCCGGACACACCCGTCGAGGACCTGGGAGTTCCGTGCGGAAGCCGCGGGCCCCCAGAGAGGGGCGACTCACCGTCCGGAGAACGCAGGGAGGCGGCTGGAGGAGACAGCTCCCAAAGAAGAGGGGCAGAGCTGCCCCCTTCCACTGCTTAGTCTCAAGGGGCCCTGGGTCTGCCCTTCCCCTTACGGAGTGCGGTGGGGCGGTGAGCAGGGGCCGGAAGGGCTTTCCCTCTTCTGGGGAGGCAGCAGCGTGTTGCACTGAGACGTATTCAGGACCAAACTGCTGCTCTTTGAGCTAAAGCCACACGCACTCCCAGCCCTGCCCTGCCTGACAGCAGGCGTCCCTGGAGATTATACCCCCAGCCCTGCTGGTCTAGACCCGGGGTCTGCTGCGGGGAGGGGGCTCTTCACTTGCACCAGGGATGGTCAGGACGGTCAAGGCAGTGCCAGGCAGCCCACTGGGCCTTCCCTCCGTCTTTCTTGCTGCTGAGGGGCCGGGTCTGCAGGTCTCCATCCGGGCACAGCTGATTTATATTTATTCTGCAGTGCTCTCTCTCTTGTTCTTTCTAAAGATTTGAAGACTGACATTGCTGGGGGCGGGAGGGGAGCTTAAAAACAAAGGACTTCTTCCCGAGGGAGGGTTGCTGTAGCTGGTCCATTCGCGATTAATTGGAAAGAGCTTTGGGGTTTTAATCTCATCTCCCTCTGTTACCATGCGCCCTAGCCAAGAGTTCATTCCTGGCGTGCGTACAAAGCAGTCGAAGACACTGTAAGCTGAGCCTACGTGCAGGGACTCTTAATATTACGATATCCAAAGAAT